CACACACACACACTCTCTCACACCCCACTCTCTCTCTCTCTCTTTACCTTTTGATTGTCATCATCATCTCTCAGCGCGCGGCAGAATCGCGTCAGTTCTCATATGGATCAGCGCTGCGCTTCTCACTTCAGACTGGAGTAACTTTCTTCTTCTTCATCATCATCATCATCATCACCAGTGACAGTCTCACCGATGGAGGAAAAAACACAAGAAGTGAAAGATTCTCCGTTTTCCATCAGGAACCTGCTGAACAAACCCGACAAACCCAGAGCTCACATGAATGTCCCGGATCTCAGCTTCCTGCGGCTCGGACCCTGGTGCTGCGCCGGCGGACACCCGAGCACACCCGCGGGTGAGAACCTGCAGCGCCGCTCTTTACACCTACGAGTATGAGTATGAGTATGTGTTCACAGACCTGTAGGAAATGAGCTGAGATCACCCGCTCATTTAAGACACTGAAGAGTTCATTCTGGTTATCATGAAAGCGTTTAAACTGGTCAAAAGTCAAGTGTTTTGTGTGTTTTGTGTGTCGAGCAGCAGGTGGAATCAGAGAGGATGAGGAGGTTGTTCTGGAGGACTCGGACTCGGACGAGCAGAAGAAGCTGTGCCGCAAGAAGAAGACCAGGACCGTGTTTTCCCGCGCTCAGGTGTTCCAGCTGGAGTCCACCTTCGACCTGAAGCGCTACCTGAGCAGCTCGGAGCGCGCGGGGCTGGCCGCGGCGCTGCAGCTGAGCGAGACGCAGGTGAAGATCTGGTTCCAGAACCGCAGGAACAAGTGGAAGAGACAGATCTCCGCCGAGCTGGAGGCCGCCAGCCACGGGCACGCGCAGAGGATCGTGCGCGTGCCCGTCCTCTACCACGAGCACGCGCTTTATTACCCGCACGCGCTGATCAGACCCGTGTGAGAGACTCGACTAACCAGCTAACCAGCTAACTAACCCATCAGAGCGGCCATCCTCTGATCCAGGAGTTCAACTCTGTCAGGAACCTATTTTTATTATAACAAATCTAGCTTTGCTGAGGAAGAGCGCTTGGTGCAGCTGTTTATTATTATTATTGTTATTATTGTTATGATTGTTATTATTCTCCCATACCTGTGTCTTCCGTCGAAGCGCCGCTACAGTGGATCAGTCTGGCTTCTTGTGCTCGTGTTTCATCAGTCAGTAAAACAAGGGAAGGCTGGAAACACCGTGTTTGGGGTTTTCTGTGTGTTTTCATCCAGATACACTTCAGGACTCAGTGTTGTAGCCTGCTACTGAATCTAATCGTTATTGACTTTATTTCTCAGTCTTAATGTTCACCTGCACTAGTAAATATCTATTTTATTCTCCGACAAACGCCTGAAATGATGAATTATGAGGTTTGTGAACTAATCGGTGGATTTGTCTGGGCTTCAGAGGATTTTTATATGATCATGAGTAAATGTTCTTTATTGAATGTGTTTGTGATTCTGGAGATGCGACTTAATAAAGCGCTTCTATTGTAATTATGAGCTACTCTTGTATTTTCTTTATTTTAATTTATTATCTCATTATTTATCTTTAGTAATATAGACAACAGAGAATAGAAATCATCATACAGTCTGTTTCTATGAAAGCGCGGGTTTTACGCATTTGCTAAAAGTATATTATAACCTTGATTAAAACATGTAATTATCATTCTGTCGAAGAATCTGATGTTTGAAACAATCGGTTAATGCTTTAATGAGGAGAAATATGAGTTTGATTCACTGCGCATTATAAGTTATAACTCCGTTAATTATTGTTTGATTCTCGTTAATTATTCTTCTCAAGCAATGTTTACCAACAGCAGCTTACGGCGCGTAAAATAAATCAGTTCAATTCATATTTTATTTCTTAGTATTAATAGCATTTATATTTTCGCGGAAATTCGTGAATTTTCATTATTACAAATATTCTCTGTAAAACCGCACAAATATTAACATCTTAATGTAGCCTTCATTTAAAGTTGTAAAGCAACAGTTACACATCAAACCCGAGAACCAGTAATAAACTCCGGGAGACAAAATGTAGAATTTGTGTGGAAAGTGTTTAATATGCAGTCGAGCTTCACGAATATTGGTTATTAATTCTGAACTTACTGAAAATGCTGAAGCTCTTATTTCACACTTCTGCAGCTGCTTCGTCAGACTCTCAGCATCAGAGGACACGCGCTACTGTAGGCTGCTAGAAATAATAATAATAATAATAATAATAATAATCCTCTTTTGTTGGAAGTTTGGAAGATGATGGTTTCCAGCCAGTCAGCGCACGCGCATAAAATAAAATCTGATGTGAATTATCTTTTAATTAATATTTATTTCGTAGTGATTGATCCGGTTTAAGATGTAAAACCCTGATTATTTACTGTTTCAGCTGCATATCAAAATGCATGATATTATTATACATGAAGCGAATTCTTACGCATTCAGTTAAGATATTTTCATGGTTAGTTTTTATATTTTCCTGAAGATTAGCTTCACGTCTGTATTCTCGCAGATGCAGTGATTAAAGCAGGAACACACAGAGAGAAGAGACACGTTAGAGAATGAAGAGGATGAAGAGGAAGAGGGTGATGATGAAGAGGAAGAGGATGATGATGATGACGAAGAGGATGATGATGATAATGAAGAGGATGATGAGGAAGAAGAGGATGATGATGATGATGATGAAGATGATGATGAGGAAGAGGGTGATGATGAAGAGGAAGAGGATGATGATGATGACGAAGAGGATGATGATGATAATGAAGAGGATGATGAGGAAGAAGAGGATGATGATGATGATGATGAAGATGATGATGAGGAAGAGGGTGATGATGAAGAGGAAGAGGATGATGATGATGACGAAGAGGATGATGATGATAATGAAGAGGATGATGAGGAAGATGATGATGATGATAATGAAGAGGATGATGATGAGGAGGAAGATGATGACGAAGACGAGGATGAAGATGAAGAGGATGATGAAGAAGAGGAAAAGGATGATGATGAAGATGATGATGATGAAGAGGATGATGAAGAAGAAGATGATGATGAAGAGGATGATGAGGAAGAGGATGATGATGAAGAGGCGCAGAGATCCGCAGCAGGGCCGCAGAGATCTAGGGGCAGGGGCTCAGAGTATAAAGCTCAAAATATCAATAGAGCAATACACTGTGACGCATTGCTTGCTGATTCGCGAATTCTGTATTGAAACAGCAGCAGTGACGCAGTTCTGAAGAAGAAATAGAACAGAAAAGACCATTTTAAGTTTAAAAGTTAAAGACATTTTTCTTTACTCTGGAATTACAAACTGATTATTGATATTATTATTATTATTATTATTATTATTCAGTTTACAGCGAATGGTGGTTTTGCTGTTGTAGGAAAAAATATTTCTGTCATATTTAAAATAGAATTATATTATAATCCTGTTCTGAATTTATTCACATCATTTTTTGAATGATAATGATAATAAAAACAGGATGGATAAGTATAATTCGGAGGATGAGAAAATGTATGAGAAAACTGTGATAATTATTTTTAAAGCACTCTACGTTTTTTAAATAAATACTGTAGTAATAATAATAATAGTTCAAAGTATGAATAGCTTTAGTCAGATAACATTAAAAAGACCAGACTCGTCGACGCACTTTAAACTTTTCCCAACCAAACAGCAAGCACCGAGAGAACAGGCTTTGTTTATATTGCTGTGTACAACTACATTAGCTGCATTTTTAATATTTAATAAATATTTAATTTTAATCAGATGTAAATTCGTGCCCCGTGCTTTATTCGGGCAGGTGTTCACCAAGAGGTTTAAGGTTTAAATCCACAGACACAGGATCCTCGTGTTAGCGTAACCTGAGGCTTTACTCGTGTCCAACATGAGGAGAAGTGAACGTTTCATTCATACTCCAAGCAGAAGAAGAATAGCATGAGCTGCAGGAAAACCCCTATCTGCTGCAGAAACGTTTCAACTGATGAAACATGACCACAATAAACACACGACTGCGAAAATATATGGTTTATGTGTGTTTTTCGAGTTATCTCCAGGTAATAAATAAATTAACTATAATATAGTCTACTGATTGACATATCATTTAGTATAGAAACTATCAAATATATTCCTGCCCTCTTCTGTGATAAAAATGGGAAAACGGTGTTCGTAGCCTTTATAAACCGATCATAAAATTGTTATTAGGAAAATATTGAACAAAAATATTATAGCCCCTTGCTGCAGCTTCCACAGGCTGCACACAGCAATATAATCAGCAGCTGTGCATGCTGGCTTCATGTAGCTCTTGTCAAATAATAATAATTTAATAATATCAGTAAACAAGCACAGCGCTTCAGCCGCGGACGTTATTGAAAGCAAGGCAGCGCGCGCTAAATACGAGGGATCCCGGATGAGAGCGTCAGGTGAAAGGTCATCATGAGGATCATTTTATTTACGCTAAATTATTACTCATTAATTTTACTAATAGTTAGATTGAGCAGGCCTTCACAAAAGGGCACTTTGGGCATCAAGAGGAAAGGGCAGCTGCTCAAACACGGAATAGAGCATACACCTTTATTGGATTTAATTTAATATAACTAAAGAAGCCCAGAAGTACCATTAAATTACCCAAAGGCCCCCCTTATTTTGTTATATCATGTAAATGATGACATAATTCCATATCATAGTATCACAATCAGAGACAGAATGTGATTAAACTCGAGCAGGTGTTTAGTTATTATTCAGTGAACATCATAGAATTATATTAGCAAATAAATAAAACATGCTGACTAATGACTGACCGTGAATAATATCACCTCAGACTAATATAACGCTGAAGAAAAAAACTATAATTCCTCGTTTATTCTTAGAAATGTAGCACAAATGTTTTATCTGTGATGGTCGCATTGATTAAATTAAAGCACTCGTCTTCAACAGGCGGAAATGCACAACATCTCGCGATATTTTGTTGTTTCGTGTCCTCGCTCGTGCCCGGAAATAAATCCTTGTAACCAATCATTGCTGAAGAACGTTAGAGGGAGTTTTGAAACGGACCAATGAGAGCAGAGCTCTGCTGTGAACGCGTCCAATCAGAGAAGAGCGTCGATGAGCGGCAGAGCAGCAGCAGAGAAGAGCGGCGCGGTGAGATTTAACGGAAATTCTGCTTATTTTAATAAACTTATGTGAAATAAAACGATCAGCGGTGTTTCAGAGAGCTTATCACAGCGGAGGTTTTAGTTCTGAACCCGCGCAGTGCGTCATGTGATGTGTAGAGTTTAAATGCAGTCATAATGTCGGTTTAACGTTACTCGAGTTTAGTTCCTGAGTCATGCTACGATGCTTTAGGCTTATATGCTGCTGACATCTACACTCGCGTAACGTTACATATGAAGAGAGAGAACAATATGTGAATAAACCTGCTTTGTTTCTTTCTTTAGCGCGTCTTCAACACCCATCTGCTGTACAGCGCGCCGCAAACGCTGAACGTGATATTCTTCACTTTACCTGTGGATTAAGGGCTCGTTCTTTTGACTGTAGTTAGTGTTTATTACAAGTACGGTTTGACAGAAGTGTGGGTTTCCCTGGTCGCTGTTTCGGTGCGTTAAGCGTTTCTGAATGTTTCAGAATGTCCCCGCCTCTGCGCATGTCAGATGAAATAATAAATAAATGGCATTTCTTATGTTTTTTTTTTTCTTTCAGTATTTATTGATCCTTATTTATTTCAATTACAGTTTCTGGATGTTTTTTTACATATAAAAATCTTACATATAGACTAATGTTATTAATGTAACGTTTTTAATGTAAACTTGTTGATATTTTTACCGTTAGTATACGTGAGGCAAAAGAAGTTAGAATGAAGGATATATTAAAATTCATAGCATGTAAACAAGTTCTGCTCGCGTATTTGAAGGCTTCTATTGGATGATTTAGGGTAGACGTCATATTATGCGACTACTCATTACTTTACAGAGAGTTTACGAACTACTTGCTACGTCCTGCCTTACGAACAGCTGGTGCAACCAAATAATGTATAGATTTAGTTACAAACTAGCTAGTAGTTACTAAGCCTCTAGTGTGAACTTAACGTTCTAATTTAAGTAAGAACGTACTAATGGCTGGTGCAACCCTACCCGGATCACACACGTGACCTGAGGAATCAGCACAAACACACACTCAGTGCAGGAGCTGATGATGTAATGCGTGTGTGTGTGTGTGTGCTCTCAGATGACCGGAGCCAATGAGTTCAAGCTGACCCAGGGTCCGGAGGACAGCGTCTCGGCTGTGAAGTTCAGCCCGAGCTCGGCTCAGTTCCTGCTGGTGTCGTCGTGGGACTGTACGGTCCGTCTGTTTGACGTCAGCGCTAACAGCATGAGGATGAAGTACCAGCATCTGGCGCCGGTGCTGGACTGCGCTTTCTATGTGAGGAGCATCGCTGTAGAAACACTGGAGAGTCAGGATTCATTCACTGCTGTGTTTGAACTCAGTCTCGTGCCGTTTCAGGATCCGGCTCATGCGTGGAGCGGCGGTCTGGACAACCAGCTGAAGACGCACGATCTGAACACGGATCAGGGTGAGTTTAAACACCAGACGCTGGCGAGTAAACGATCGCGCTGGTGTGTGACTATCTGTGCTCTTCGTCAGACACGATCGTGGGGACACACGAC